TTTTATTTGTATTTAATTTATTTATTATTAACATTTATTTTGAAAAATAATATAATTTTTTATTAAATTAAAAATATTCAAAATATAATTTAATACTTTAAATATTAATTTATTTATATATTTTTATTATATAATTAATTAATAATAAATATAAATTATTTTTTTAATATATTTTTTATTTTAACTTAGTATTATATATTTCTTTTAATAATTTATATTAATTTTTTGATATTTATATATTAATTTTTTTATATTTATATATATATATATATTATTTTAATTTTATATTAATTAGAAAATATTATTATTATTAGAATTTATTTTTAATAATTTTATTTTATTTACTTATTACTTTTAAAATTGTTAATTTCATTTTTAATTATAAGTAATTTTTTTTTTAATGATATTTTTTTTAATAATATTTTTTTTTTCTTACAAACTAATTTTATTTAATATTTAAAATACAAAAATAATTAAAATATTTATATATATATGTATAATCGAATAAAAAATATTATTAAAGAATTTGATTAAAATATAATTAAATCCAACCAACAATATGAACAAAAAGAGCGAACACACAATATTAAAGGGGAAAAGTAATAAAAAATTAAAATATAGCATTAATTAATATAAACATTTAATATTGAATTATTTTTTTATTAATATTAAAATTTAAATTAAATTAAAAATAGAATAATGTAAAAAAAAACAGTTAACATGAGTGGACCAATTCAAACAAGAGAATAATATTTTTAAGAGTAAAAAAATTATATAATTATTAACATATAATTTTTTTTTTTAAAAAAAAAATATATTATAAAAGGTTTAAGTTAGATCCTGAAATAAGAATGTAAAGTAGATTATTAAGATTAAAACATTTCGGTTATTTTATGGCATACGCAGGATGGTTTACAGGTGTTGTCCTTTTTATCATGTATAGACTAAGGAGTGATGATTTAGATACATTAGAAAAAGAAGCAGAAGAGAGAATACAAATATAAAAAAAAGTAAGGGAATTATAATAGAAAAATAAATAATCAAACAATAATTTATATTAATGAAAAAAAATTTAAGATATTTTTACTAGATTTTTATTGTACTTAAGAAACAATTATTTAAAAAATTAAAATAATTTTAATGTATGTAAAAATATATATAAAATTTAACAAAATAAATACAAATATATAATAAAATATTAATAATAAAAATATAAATAAAATATAAATGAAAATATTATATATATATATATATATATATATATATATATATATATATATATTATTTCTATTTGTTATTAAATATATAAATTTCATTTACATAATAATATTTTAATTACAATATTCGGCAAATTACTTAATAAAATAATAAATAGTTAAATTTTATACTAATATTTTTTTTTTACTTTAAATTTTATAGAAACAAATTAATATTAGTAAATTTTTTTTAAATAAATTTTATTTTGTTTTATAAAAGTATAATTCAAAAGCTTTGTCTTTTTTTATCAAGCCTTTAAGTTATTATAGTTTTTAAATTATAAACATCAATTTTGATAATATTTAAAATTCTTTTATATTTTTTAAAAGTAAAAGAGATACATTTACATTATCATTTAACAAATTAAAAATAATTTAAATTAAATTACATAAAAAATCAAATTATAAAAATTCTTCAATGTTAGTTAGAGTTTTTTTTATTTCTTTATTATAAAAATTAAATAGATTTTTTCATAATCTCTTTTTATTTTATTAATATTTATTTATTTTATATAATTTTTAATTTGTTCAATAATTTTATAACGCATGGGACTTTATATAATTATCTTAAAAAAAATATGATAGGACTTTTTTGACTTTACTTGTATCCAATAAATTAATTACTAGTCTGTTATTTCTCTGTTGTTTATATATATTTTATAGCAATAAGAAGTATATAATGGTTCAAGAATTTCAGTATTATTTTGTTAATTTTATGATTTAAGCATAGTCGTTAAACTATTTAAGATTGACAAAAAATTTGTTATTCTAAGATTATTTATTGTAATGTTCTTATATTATGTAAAATTTTGAGTATTAATTTTTTTTAAATATACAATTTACTTTTTATATATATTTTGTTTTTTTTTATATTTATTAAAATTATTTATTTGAAATATTTCTAATATTAAATACATTAATAAACTTTTGCTTTTATTGATTTTTTAGTTTTTTTTAATGATTTTAGATAAAAATAATAATTAGTCTATATTATGTAAAGATTATCAAAAACTAATGATTTCAAAACAATTTGATCCTTTTGGTTCTTTTTATATATTTCAAGTTTGTATGGATGCTTCTCAAGATTAATTAATGAGGTTGGTGTTTTTTATAATTCTTATATAAAATATAAAAAATAGGGCTTTTTAAAAATATAATTAAAATAAAATAAGTTTTCCCAAAGATTATATTGAAAATAAATATTATTAAGATATAACAAGTAAAACGAAAGATGATTAATTTATATTTAATAGTAATATTTTATTTAAAAATGATAATTATGAATCAGGCTTTAATAAAAATAGTATAGTTAAATTTGAATAAGAAGAATAAATTTAATGTAAAATAAAATAAGCTGAAAGTGTTTTAAATGATAAGAAAGTAAAAAAAAATATAAAATAATATATAAATATATAAATATATATATATATTATATTATATTTTAAATTTAAATAATAATAAAAATTTGATAATATTTATATTATAAATAAAGAAGTTAGATTTATATTTCTATATATTTTAAATAAGAACTTTAATCAATTAAGCACCAGATTATGAATTTTGTTAAAAAAATAAAGTAAAAATAAAATTAAAAATATTTTTTTTATTTTAATAATTTAATGTTTTTATATTATTAATATATATATATATTTATATATATATATTATTTATATATATATATATTAATATTTAATATTATAATCAATAGATTTACGAATTTATCCTTTTTCATCTTTTGAAGTATATAAATTTTAAGGATCATAAAAATACGTATTTTTTATTTAAAATTTACATATTTATATTTTATAGTCTATTATCTTGATTTTTAATTTTATTAAATTATTATATGTTGAGATGCATGATGGAAAAGCTATCTAAACTTTACATTTTATTACTATTTTTGTAAAAATATTACTTATATATATATTTTTTTTATATATATATTTATATTAGAGTGCAAATAATGGATTTAAAGAAAATGAGTTTTATGTAAATATATAAAATAAGAATATTAAGTTTAAGGCAAAATATGGTTTTCAAAGAGATTTAATTGTCAATATATTTAATTTATTAAATTAAAATATAAAAGAAAAAATTATAAATCAATAAATTTTTAATCCTAATATATAAAATAGAGATGAATAAATAATTAAAGAACATTTTAAATTTAAGTTAGGAGTAAAATAAACACATATTTAATTAATAAAAAGTGACAATATTATTCCTGCTAAGGCTATTTTGTCTTATTAAACTACATTAGTTGTAAATTAAAAAGTTATATAAGCGGAATTTACTCTTGGAATGAATAATATTGTTATTCATTCTTTTAAAGATAATGACTAACCAATTATATATAATTTGATTCCTTATAATCATGAGTTTTTTTACATTGAAGAAAGTGAATTGAAAAATTGTAAAAATATATTTCTTATATTTAAAAAAAATAAAATAAAATATATATAATAAAAAAATAAAATAAAAATATTTTTTATTTATTAAAAAAAAAATATATTTTATTTATTATAAATTATATAATAATTATATATCAAATATAGAATTAATTTTATGTATTTGTCAAGAAATAAATATTATTAACTTCGATAATGCATTTATTGCAAATAATATAAAATAAGCAATAAAATCAGTAAAAAAAAAAGATATATAAATGGAATAAATATTCATAAATTTTCCTAATGATTACTAAAAAATAATAAATCAAAAATTTTAAAAATATAAATATAAAGAAATTTAAACAAAAATCAAAAAAATTTCTTATTAAAAAATTCTTTATAAAAACTAAGTAAATATTTAAAAATAAATATTAATATAAAAAATATATATATATAGATTGATATAAAATAAAAAAAATAATTAAATAAATATATATATATAATTTAATATAAATATATATTTTAAATAATAATTTTATATACATATTTTTATTTTTAATTTTATTATATATTTTGTAATAAATTTAAATATTTTTATTATTATTTTATATATTATTATTATTATTATTATTATTATTATTATTACTATTATTTATATTATATTTATTTTTAGAAATATTTTAGATTTTTTTTAATTATAAGAAATTAAATTTATAATAAAGATTTTTCTAATTTAAAAATTTCTGATACTAATAGTATATTAAATGATGAAGTAACTTAGTTATGTTAATTTAATAAATAATAATAAAATTATATTGATTAAAATAATAATTGATTATAAAGCATTGTATTTATTTTATAATTTTCTTATTATTAATATTATTTGTCAATAATAATTATTTTTAAAATAAATGAATTTTTTACTTTTCTATTTTAATTTAAATTATTTTTTATTTAATTATTTAAAATATTTTTTTATCTCTATAAGTATTTATACCTTTTTAATTTTTTTTTTCGAATTTTTATTTTAATTCTCAATATATAATTTTAATTATTTTTTATTTTTATAATTATAAAATTATAATGAATTTTAATTTTGATTTATATAAAAAAATTGCATTTTTTGTACATTTATTTATAAAATTATTTTTAAAAATATTAATATTTGTTACATCTTTTGAAAAATTAAATTAATTCTAAGCCATATAATTAATTTCAATAAGCAACTAAAAATTTTTTGTATAAAATTATAAAAAAGTTATCGACTTAAAATATTAAAAATCAATGTAATAATAATATTTACTAAAAAAGAAAAAATAGAGAAAAAAAGTATAAAAACAGAATTTAATATAATTAAAATAAATTGAAATCTAAAAAATTAATAAAAAAAAAATAACTATAAATTAATAAAAATGGATACAACTAAATCATATACTATAAACAATTCAATATTCCGAACTGGCGAAAGATACGAATGCCAAAAACTTTTAGGCTGCGGTGCTTACGGGTAAGTAGTAATGGCTGAAGACAAGAAACTTAATATGTAAGTGGCAATAAAGAAGCTTCATAAAATCGAAGATACAGTGGATGCTAAAAGAATACTCCGAGAAATCCGTATTTTAAAGAATTTAGTCCATGAGAATATTTTATAATTATTAAATATTATATATGATGATATAGATGAAGATTAGGAATTCGGAACAATTTATTTAATAACAAATTATATGGAAATAGATTTATATTAAGTAATTAAATCTAATTAACCTTTAACTGATTAACATATCTAGTATATTATTTATCAAATACTAAAAGGATTAAAATATATACATTCGGCAAATATTATACACAGAGATATTAAGCCTTCCAATATTTTAGCAACTTAAAAATGTGATATTTCAATGTGTGATTTCGGACTTTCTAGAAAAATTGAAGAAGAAGAATAGGTTGAATAAAACCTAGTATATATTATATAAATATAATTATATATACATATATTATATTTGATAATTAAATAATAATAGTTAGGCTAATTAACTGAATATGTTGTAACAAGATACTATAGAGCACCCGAAATTATGTTAAGCTCTCATGTTTATTCTAAGGCAATTGATTTGTGGAGTTTGGGATGTACCTTTGCAGAATTGATAACACATTAAATTCTTTTTAAGGCTTAAAATTATATAAAATAAATAAAGTTGATTTTTGATAAACTAGGAATGCCACCAAATGATGATTTAAATTTTATTGGAAATTAAAATGCTAAATAATATGTTATTACTCTTCCTAAAAAGACGAAAACTTCAGTGAAAAGTTTTATTTAATACGAAAATGGATATGCACTTGATTTATTGGATAAAATGCTAGAAATTAATCCGTATAAAAGAATTACGGCAGAAGAGGCTTTAAAACATCCTTATTTTGAGAGTTTACATGATGAAAGTGATGAACCGAAATTTGAAGGAAATGTTAATTTTGATTTCGAATATGATTAAAACATTAGTTTGTATACTTTAAAGTCACTTATTTTAGAAGAAGTAAATTATTTTAAAGATTTAAATAATGAATAATCAATTAATATAGAAGAAACATTAAAAGTTTGCTAAAAAAGAGAAGAAAATATAAAAAGAAATTAAAATATAAATAAAAAATAATGATTTTTTTTTTATAAATATATATTTTTTAATTTTTGAAATATCTTTTTTAATTATTTTTATTTAAGTTTATCTTTTTTAATTTTTATCGATTTTATTTACATATTTTTAAAATAAAATTTTAATTTTATATCCCCCTTTTTTTTTTTTGACATTTCTATTTATTCTTTTTTCATTAAATTCGAAAAAAATATATTAATTATTAGCATATAGTCTATTAGAATATATATATATATATGAATGTAATATTTTGTTTTAATTATTATAAGCGCAATATATAATTTTTATTCAAAGATATAAAGATTATTTATAACATTTTTTTGTAAAACAAAAATAATAATTAAATAGAAAAGAAATTTTTTATATGTAAGTAATTATTATGTCGCAAAAAATAAAAAATCTTATATTTTTTTTTTTTAACAAAAATAATTATAAATTAATTTTATATTTAATATTTTAAATAAATTCAGCCCATATCTTTCCATTTATGGGCACAATGCATGCATTCATAATGATGAGTTTATCCTTCATCTAAACTTCTGTCTTATTCTAATCTTATATAAGCTCCTCTTTTCTCACATGCTTAGCAAATCACTTTATTTATTTTTTAATAAAAATATTAAATTAGTATATTTTAAATATAATTAATGAAAATGTATGTAATTAAATTTTTATTTTATATATTTTACTTTCTTTATCTGTTTAAAGTGCTTCTTTTTATAATGAAATATCGTGTATAGTATCATCTTTCATCATTTTGGAAGTATAAATAATCTCCTTTTTTAATAATAATGGATAGAAATATGTACATGTTCTGCATGAAAATTAATAATCTCCTGATACATTTTATATTAATAGGGCATTTGCACATAATGGACAAAAATTCATTTTTAAAAAATTATTGATTAATATATATATATATATATATATATATATATATATATATAAAAATATATTAAAAAAATTATATTTATTAAATATATTTAAAAATATAATAAAATTAAAAAAAATATTATAAAATATTAAATTATAAGAAAAAATAAATACATTTATATCAATTTTTAAAAAAAGCTTCTTAAAATTATTTATTTAATTGTATATATAACTTTTATGAATATTATTTATTTCATTTATAATTTAAATATATACGTTAAATAATAATTTAAAAAAAATGTTTAAATCTAAAGATATAAATAAAAGTAGTTCAAATGTAACGCCATAAGGTTGGTTTTCATTAAATGATATTTCTTTTGTAAACATAAGTAATAAAAGCTCTATAAGTAATAACAATAGAAAAACAAGAAAACAAAATAATAATAATAATAATAATAATAATAATAATAATATTAATAATATCAATTAAAATAATTTAACATAAACGAATATAAAAAAATCATCAAATTCGATTTCTTAAATAAATAAAGAAAACATTTAATGTAAATAAGCAATTTATTAAAATTTATCTGATATCAATACATATAGATAGAATAAGTCTGAAAGATCTATAAGTTAAAAATAAATAAAAAATGATATTAGAATTAATAAAAAATAAAACTAAACAAAACTAAATTAATTAAATTAGAAAATAAATAACATTACTTAACACTAAAACTAAAAATAACATGTTTATAATAATTAAAATTAAAAATTAGAAAATCATAAAAAAAAAAATATTAAAACAATTGAATAAAAAGATAAAATTTAAACACATTCAAATTTTAATAATAATATATTAAAAACTCCTTTAAATGAAAAATAAAAAAGATATAAATTATTTGAATAAAATTTATAAAGCCCTATAATTTAAAGAGATATAAATAATGAATATAATGATTTTGATATATATTCAGCAAAAATGGCTAATAATATAATTGAAAATATCCTAGAGTAAGATAAATAAAAAGACATTTTAAAAAATGAAATCAAAAGATTAAAAGGTAAATATTAATAAATACAAAAATTTATATATATAAATATATATAAACATATATATATATATATATATATATTTATATAAATATATATATATTTTTATATATTTTTTTAAAATTTTATTCAATATTAATTTATTTTTTAATAAGAGTAAATTAAATAACTTTAATCTAATATTTAAATATTCTAAATTTAAATAAATTTGATAAAAAAATAAAATACAGAATTACAAAATGAAAGTAAACAATCCTAAATAAAATATTAAAATGATTTACTTTATTTTAAAGAAAAAATATCTTAAGTAAAAATTACAAACTAAAAGTTTTTTTAAACTATTATTAATTGGATATGTTAGACATATAAATTTTTAGTATCTAATAATGATTAAAATAATTTTAGTTAATGTGATTTGGAAAATATTTAAAATAAAATGAATGAATTAGTTAATTTTTTAAAAAATTAATCTATATTTACTTAAGATTGTAATGAACTTAATTATTTATAATTTGATAATTTAAAAGTTATATGTAATGGTAATTTAACCGAAATTGAAAATAATATTAAAAATTATATTAATACAAATATTTGTTTTTAAACTAATGATTTAAATGTAGAAAAATAACTTTCATTTGAAAGTGGAATAAAAAAAAATGAAAACTAATTAAATTTTTTAGTATAAGAATAAGGTTTAAATATTATATATTTTAATATTTTAGTTTAATAAATTAATATAGATAAAAATAACAAACAATAAATGAAAAATTTATAATAAAATAATAATAATAAATAAATAAAGAAATAAGAATATAAAGATGAAATAATAAATTAAGAATAAAAAAATAATAAAGAGGCATATAAAGAGAATATCAAGCAAGAATAAAATAATTTAGAATTAAAAGTAAAAATAATAAATAATGATAACAATACTAAAAATACAGAAAACGATATAAAAACAATACCTTTTAGTGAATAAAAAAATTAAGGATAGTATAATATTAGTAATAATGTTTTTGTAACGGCATTATATGATTATAAAGCCTAAAAGGTATATATTTATATGTTATATTATTTATAGAAATAATATAAAGGAAAAAGATTTAAACTTTAAAAAAGGAGACAAAATTTAAGTTATAAATAAAACTAGAAATGGATGGTGGATAGGATATTTAAATGGTAATATTGGATATTTTCCTTTTAATTTTATAAAAGAATGATAAATAAAAAATAAAAAAATATTTTTTTAATTTATAATAATGAATAAATAAAAAATATAATATGTGTATAGTAATAAAATTTAAAATATTATAAGATTAAATAATATATATTATTAATATATTTATTAAAGTAATAAATATTAAATTATAGTATATATATGTATATAAATATATATATATATATTTAAATATAATTTTTTAAGAATATATTTTAATTGTTAAATATTTAAATTTTAATTAAAAATATATATTTTTTTAATAAAAGTAAAATTTTATTTATCTAAATATTATATTAATTTTATTTAAAAATGAATTAATTATAAAATAATAAACTAAACAAATATAGTTTTTCAATAGATAAAAGTTATTTAAGAAAATCTAATTAATAAGTATTTTTAAAAAATTAAATTCGAAGAAGATAAAGAATTTCTAAAATAAAATGCATAGGAAATACATCAAATGATTATTCTATAAATAACAGCCTAAAATATTAAAATAATTAATAAAAAAGTATTATTAGTTAAAAAAGTAAATACTAAAAATAAAGAACGAAAGTAAGAGGTTTTTATAAAAATACTTATAAAAGTAGAATCTAATAAAAGGAATTAACTATATTAAAAATAAATTAAGAAAATAATGATAAATAAAAATTAAAATAATAAAAATAAAAAGAAAATGTATAATTGTTTATTAGATAAATCAAATAATTTTATATTTTTTTTTATAGAACAAAAATAAAATGAAATAATTATATTAATCTTTATAAGATTTAGATAAAAACTTAAGATTTTAAAAAGCAGTTAGACATTTACATGATGCTTTAAATTTAAGACCTGTAAGGAATGATATAGAAAGTAAATATATTTTTATAAATAATTATATTTATATATATATATATATATTTATATATATATATATATTTACATAATTATTTATATATTTTTAATATATATTAAAATATTAGATTCTAGGTATAAATTTGCTGTATTTATATATTATATTTAAATTAATTTTGTTTGGAATTATATTCTTTTTCTTTTATCTTTAGCTTATCCTTTATTGTCTTTTTTTGAACCAGCTAATTAATATGATATTAATAATTAAAAAATATATTCCTATAAAATTAGTGAAATATTATCATTAATTTTATTCTTAGTTGATATAACAATGGAAATTATACATAATCTTCATAATTATCTATAAAGTTTTAATTATTAATTTTTTTCTAATAAAAAACTTTTATGGCGTTTTTTATTTATTACAATTTTAATAATTGATTTTATTTATTATTATTCGAAGTTTACATCTCTTAGATTTGCTAGATATATAAGACCGTGTATTTAATTTTTATATATTTTCTTAATTTATTTAATAAAAAATAAGTTTTAGTACTATTTTATTCAAAGGAATTAAGAAGATCTTTTAAAAGTATAATTGAATCTATTCGATAGATTTTTTAGTTATTTTTATTTTTACTTTTTAATACTTTAATTTTCTCGATTATTGGATGGAAGTTTGTTGGAGATTTAGATGGAGCATTTAATTATGATCCTTTTTAAAGTAATTTCGATAATGTTTTAACAGCTTCGAATATACTTTATTCGTTAATTAGTTTTGATGGATATCCAGAATGCATTATACCTTCTATTTGTAAATATTATATTCATATTTTATTTAAATCTTTATAAGCTTAATCATAGATTTACATAATTTATTTTATCATATATTTGATATTATACTTATTTATTTTTATACCTATTCCAGTTGCTGTTGTATTTGAAGCATTTAGAGTATTTTTATTTTATATATAAAAATATAAATTAAAATATATTTATTATAAAAGGTAAACAGAAGAAAAACAGTTATAATGGATAGAATAAAATAAAGGGAAGCTTTGTTAGCTTGTTTTATATCTTTAGATTTTTAAGAGTAATTTTAATAAAAAGAATATAAAATATAAGAATATAAATATATATAAATATGATTAATTATAAAAAATATAAATAAATATATAAAAATATAAATAAAATATATATAAATATATATATATATATATATTTATTTGAATCATAGTAAAAAAACTATTGATTATAATACATTTTTTTTATTTATGAGTGCAATTTATTTACATAAAAAGAATTATATTAGAAGAATAAAAAGTCTTTATTTACATTTAGATATTAATGATTAAAAATTTATTTCTTTGGATTAATTTTTTAATATAATAGATATTTTTGAAAGTAATGATAATTTCAGAATTCCAATGTTTAGAAATAATAAATATTGGGGTTTATTTAGGAAAATTTTAAATAAAAAATTACATTTAAAAAAATACGTGAAAAATTATATATTTGAGTCTTTGATGTTTGTAGTTTTAGCAGTTAACTGCACTGTTTTGATTATATCTTAATTTTAAAATGAATAAATTTATGATGATATAGACTCTTTTTTGGGTTATTTTTATATTTTTGAATTCGTACTTAAAATTGTGGGTTTTGGAATTGAAAAATACTTTCAAGATAATTGGAATTGCTTTGATTTTGCAATGATAATTGTATCTTTATCAAGTAATATTTTAAATGAAGTTTTCAGATTTCTAAAAAGCGCTAAATCAGCAAAAACTACAAAATTAATAAAGTTGAGTAAATTAAATAGAATTTTTAAAGTTTTTCATACTATAAAAAATACAAAATTATTTAATTGCTTAGCTATAGGAGCAGAAACTTTAAATTAAGTTTAATTGCTTCTTAAAAAAATTATTATGTGTATTCCTTTAGGTAAAAATATACAATATAATATATAAATTAAATATATATATAAAAATAAATATATATATATATATATATATATATATATATATATATATTATCAAAAAACAGTTGCCAAATTAATTCCTATAATTTTAATGGTATTTTATTTATATGCATTTTGGGGAATGGAAACTTTTAATACATAAACTTTTGAATTTAAAAAAGGTTCTCCATATTAGACTTAATTTTTTGGAGATTTTAATAATTTTTAAAATTCTTTGCTTGTTTTGTTTTAGGTTATGGTATAGTCTAATTGGAGTCTTTTTACTTATGATTATGCTTATAAATTTGATAATTTGTATATTTCTATGATGTTTTTTGATACTTTTGATATGATTATTTCACTTATTTTACTTTCTTTGATTAAGGGTATTGTTTGGGAAGTTTTTACTGTCGTAGATAATGAAATTAAACAGGCTGAAATTATTCAATAATAAATTGAAATAGATGAAATTAATTCAGAAATGAATAAATTATAATAATAAAAAAAAATTAATTATAAGAATATTCAAATTGTAAATGGAATTATTGAATATAAAAAAATATTAAAAAATATGAGAAATATATCGCATAAAAATAGCTTTATTTATGGGGAAGGGCAAGTTCAAAATTCGCCGAATTTTAATGATTAAATTTTCAATAAAATTAAAAATAGGTTTAGGAAAAATAATTATTAATTAAATAATAAATTATAAAAAATATTAAAATATTCATAAACAGAATTGTATTTTGAATAATAAAAAAAATAATATATTTAATCAGAATAAGATTTAAAAGAAAATATAAAAAAAAATATAAAATCTTTAAGTTTAGATAATTTAGAAAAAATAAATGCTATAGGTAATTTAAATAGAATAATGTAAATTTAAATACAAAATAATTAATAAGATTTTAAAAATAAATAATTAACAGAATATAATTAAAATAATTAGCTTTTAATGAAAAATAGCATTGTTGGACCTTTTGTTTTATTGTAAAAAATTAAATCTAATATATATAAAATAAAAAATATAAAATATGAATATTTATATTATATAAGTATTATTGTAAATATATAAATATATATATATATATATTTATATATTTTATATATATTTATATTTTTATATATTTATAGTCAAAATAGTTAAAAAATATAATAAAAGAAAAGTTTAACTAATTCTATTTCTTCAATTTAAAATGATTATCAAGAATTTATTATGTAAATTGATGACCCAAATATTCTATAAAAAGAATAAATATATGAATTGAAACTTAAAATTAAATCAATTAGTTATTTAAAGAAAATTTAATATATTGAAATGAGAAAATTTATTTAAACTTAAATTTAAAGAGAAATTGATTTTACTTAAGAATTTTTACTTTCTGATGATCCTAACAGCGTTAAACTTTACTGTAAATAATTAAATGAAGATATTATTGAGGATTCTAATTAAGAATCTGAAAATGAAGAGTATATTAAAAGAGTTATTGAATTATAGAAAGAAAAAAATTAATATGGATGTGAAGAATAATCAATCAATTCTAATTTTGTATTGAAAAAAGCTTTATTGAAAGATTCAAATATGGATATAATAAAAAAATTAGGTTATTAAAAATTCAAATTAAAATTTTAAACAATTATTTTTTATTTTAGAAATTAATTACTTTTAAGATTGTTATGGAACATTTTTCAATATTTTTCATGATGTAAATGCCACACCTATATTAAAATATGAAAGCTTCCTAGTATATAATTTTTAAAGATTATTAAGACATAGTACTATTAAAAATTTAATATTTTTTAAATTATTAAATACATTTGAAAAAAACTTAAGTGATATTATATTTAGAAAAGGAAGTTTAGTAAAATTTGTATTTTAGGTAAATATTTAAATATATATATATATATTATATTATATATTTATATATTTTTATTATAATACATTATTTATTTATATTTATTTATTTATAAAAGGATTCTGGAGATAATTGGTTTTGTATACATTAATATAATAATAAGGTATTTCCTTGTTTGTTAAAATAAGGACCTTGGTCTTTTTATGAGAAATGTTTTAATAAAGATAAAGAAATATTTATATCAAGGGATTTTTTTGTTACCCCTGATAGTTTTGTAATGTAAAAACTTCTTGTAAGTTTTTATGAGTCTTTTAAGATTATAGCTAATAGTGTTGATTAAAATACTAATTTTTTATAATTAAATCCAAGTGAAAATATTTTGTATTTTTTATATTTTAATTTTTTTTTATTTTTATTTTTAAGTGTTTTTTTTTTTTTTTTAGTGATTTATTTTTTCTTTTTGAAAAAAATAAAAATCCTGATTAAACCATATCTAAAACATCTAAATTATTACAAAAGAATTATGATTTAAAGTATAATAATAACATTATAGACTTATATGGCCAAAAAATAATGATTTTAATAGTTTCTTACATAGGAGAAAGTCAAGAATAAAAATAAAATGCAGGAATTTTTAAAGATTTATATAATAATACAAGAGTTTCGAATAAAAAAGCTGGGTTTAAAGTAAATTTGGAAACATTAAAAAATAATTAAACTTCAGAAAAAGATAAAATTAGTGAATTATCTTCAATGCCTTTGGCTTATGTTATTGAAATGCTTAAAAGTTTTTAGGATATATTATAATTATATAAAAGCAATTTATTTATTAAGGTTACTGAATTAATTAATTAAACACAAATCGAATAAAACATAAAATTAGAAAATAAATAATAGGAATAAAAAGATTAAAAACTAAATAATTAAATAAATTTTAATAATGAATAGAATTAAAGGAGTCAATAAAGCATTTTAAATCAATGAAATTTAAAAATTAATAATAAAAAGTAAATTAAAATTTGAAAATGAATAAAAGTTTTTTTTAAAAAAAACTTAAAATTAAATATAAAAATATATTTTATTTTGTTAAATTTTTGTTTATATACATAATATAAAATTCAAAAAAAAAAAGAGTAATTAATTAATTTTTTAGTTTTTTTTTTTTTTTATTATTATTAAATTAAATAAAAATGTATTTTTATTTATTTTATTTTTTTGGAAAAAAAATAAAATAAAATAAATAAGAATTAAATATCATATATATTAAATTTAAATGTAAAAAAAGCCAATAAAAATTTTATTTATCTTTACTTCGAAAAATTACATTCATTTAAGTTGATTTATTAAAGTTTTTATATCGTAAAAACTGTTATCTTGTATATGATCTTATTCTTAAAGAAAATTTCTATATTAATCTATTTTATAATAATCAATTTTACATTTCTATAATTTTAAATCACTTGCATTCAATTAGGATATATTTGAATTTGTTAAGTATTATTTACTGCTATTATTATAACTATTTGTAATATATTAAAATACTTTAAAAAAAACAAAAACATAAAAAAGAAACAAAATTTAAATAAAATTAATAAAAAAAAAAATATTACCTTTCATTTGTAAAACTAGCATTTAAATTTTCGTTTTCTTCTTGTTTGCATTTTTATTCTTTTATTTTTTACTAAATTTCGTGTTTTTTTAAAAATGGAAACTCTTTTTAATTATTATATATGGCATAAAATATCAAACTTAAAAATACAATACTCAAAAATATTACAAATATTAATTGTTTTTAATCATTTAAATGTAAAGTTAATTTACAATAGTAATTAAAATATAAAGTTCTCATTATATTTACATGTTTTTGGACCATTATTATCATATTGGTTTAAAATTAGGCTTAATGTTTTCTTAGTTTTTATGCTTTTTATAATTTTTGTTCGTCTAAAATATTATTTAATTAATTAATTTATTCATCTTTTTCTTTTATTTTTTTATTTTTAATGTTTTCATTACATTGTATTGATAAAATTATTACTATTAATATATATATATATGATATTTTTTTCATATTTATTTTTCTTTTATTATATTTATTAATTATATATTACTTTTTTTTTTTTAATTTATTAATAAATTGTTTTTTAATATTTTTTAATGAAATAAATACTAAAACGCATTTTTTTCGTTTTTTGTTTTTTTAATAATTAATTATATTTATTTTTTTTATGAATTTTCATTATTTTTAATATATTATAAATAATAAAAAATTAATTTTTATTTTTAAAATTCTTTTTAACTTTTTATTGTATTTTTTTTTTATTATTTTAAAAATATGTATTTTCTCAAACATATTACAACTACAACTACAACTACAACTAATATTGTTCAAAGTTTTTTTTATTTTTATTTTTTTGAAAAATAAATAAATAAATAAAAATAAATATAAAAATATAAATATTTATGTATATTCTTAACTATTAAAATAGCAAAATAAATATAAATTAGTATTAATAGATTTAAATGAGACAAAATAAAGTCATTTTTTATTAAAATTAATATTAATTATTTTACATTACTTAATTCTAAATGGATATGACTTTTATTTTTTTATTTTAATAAAGAAATTATATCAAAGCGTTATAATGAAAATAAAGATTATTATATAATAAATAATTTATTTTCTTTTTTAAAAAAATTATTTTATAAATGAATATATTTTTTTATTAAAAAATAAAAAAAAAAATTATTAATTTATAACTTTTTCATAATAATATAAAATCTTACTTTTTTTTTTTTAAAAAAAAATAATAAATATAATAACAATAGACTACAAATAACATATATATATATATATATATATAAAAAATCCTTGTTATATAAATATAAAATGAATAACCAATCATTAAATTAAAATTATCCATCAAGTATAACAAATAAAAAAGCAGCAAAATTAATAATAAAACTAGAAGAAACTCACCAAACATCTTAATCGTAAATAGAATAATAATTAAAAAATTAAAATAAACAAAACATAAAAATAAGCCCTTAGGAAATAAAAGAATATGCCATAAGTGTATTTAATGATATTTCTAATTCTTATAGATTATATATAAGTATAGACTCAAAAGTAAGAAAAAAAGATACTGCAAAAGCTTTACAAAGTTTATTAGAAAAAATAAAAACGTATTAATTTAATTAAATGGATTGTCCTTGGATGATAAAATTAATTTTTACTATTTAACATATGATGCGACTATTTATATGATGGATATTTGCTTAGCTTTAAGGAAAAGTGTATATTCAGTACTATGTATTGATTATTAGGCTTTTTGCATAATGTGTATGGAATGCAATATTATACTAATGTCGCCAAAATATATAGAATGGAGAGTAAAGTTATATATAGAATTAGCACATTCTTATTAAGAATGCAATTCTTTAAGTTCAGCTTAAAAAACAATAGATATTGGATTATAGGAATTATAAAAATCTTATAATAATGAATTAAAAAAATACAATAATGAATTACCTGATTATATATAAAAATTATACGAACATAATCTAAGAATTTTAAGAGTTTTATGTTTGAAATTAAAACTTTAAGTAATAAGAATATATATATACATATATATATATAAATATATATATATATATATATATATATATATATATATATATATATATATATATATATATATGTTTTAAAAGCAATATTTTTATAAAGAGTTCATAAATAACAATTGAAGAATGGAAAAAAAATTTGATGAATATTTTTAAAATGATGAAGAAGGAAAAATTATGAGCATAATAGAAACTTTAAGATGTAATTATTCAAAATACTCAAATTGCATAGAAAAAAAAGGTTCTTCTTTTCCTTGGAAATAAAGTGTTTTAGTTGCTGCTTATGAAATATATAAAAATGATATCCAATAAATTATATAAGGGTTAGAACACGAGAAAAAAATATAAAGCGAAGAATACTTTAAGTCTAAGACATTTACAGGAGTATATAGTTATGATACTAATGATAATAATAACTAAAAAAATACATAAAAATAAATTAAAAGATCCAATTCCTTTACAATAAAATAATTTGATTGGAAAAAAGCAATTTGTAGAATTCCTTTTGAATATCACGTAGAGTTAATACATTTTGCATATGAAGTTTAAAATTAGGCCATTTTAGAAGAGCTTATTTGTTCTGCACTTATTAGATGTAAGCATAGAAGAATAGAAGTTCCTTATATTGTAGATGTAAAAATCGTTTAAAGCCTAAATCAAGAAGTTGATGTAGAAGAGGGATATGAGAAAATTCCAATTGATATAAACTAAGCTAGTTTAAGAATGGATCTGAGGAAATTGAGGACAAAAATTTTTTAGGGAAATTTAAGGAATAATGAGGTTTAGACAGGATATTTTTAATAAGAGGCTACTTATTAAGAATTGGAGATGATTAAACATAATTATGTATATTTAATTATTAAAAGAAGCTAGAATGCAGAAAATGCAGTATGTGATATTAATGTGGTTTTAAAACATGAAGAAGAATAGGAAGAATAGAAAAATATAATTAATTAAGAAGTATAAGGAAAATTTTAAGGGGGATTTAAAGAAATACCTATACCTGTTAAATAATATACAGGAGTTCAGGAAACTACGCATTTGATTCCTTATTTATAAATTAAACATACGTAAAATTTTTAGATGAATGATTAAGAAAAAATGAATATCTTAGTAGATATTAAACCACTTTTTGGAAAAAATCCGCTTATAAGGCCTGAAATAAAATATTTTAAAATTGAATGTGATTTAAGACAGGTACCAAGTGAGTTTGTAAGATTACCTAATATGGAATATGTCTATATTACATATAAAAATGATGAAAACTTTTTCATAAATGAAAGAGAATTGAACATAATGAACGCATTTTGGAATCTGGAGAAAACTTTTGGATTAAAAAATAAAATAAGTAAATATATAAATTTAAATTTTTTATTTTTATTTTAATTTATATAAATAAATAAAATAAATAATAAGAAAAATTATATCTAATAATATTAATACTAATAATAAAATTTAAAAGAAAAATATTATATATTTATATATTAATATATAAATTTATAAATATATAAATATATAGATATTAATTTTATTATATTTAGATATATAAATATTTTATATTTATATATATTTTTTTATTTATATATCTTTTTTTATTTAATTATTTTTTTATATTTATTATAGATAATTTAGAAGATGAAAAAAAGATTTAATTAGATTTAATTTATGATATTAATAAATTATTAGAATTAATAATACAAATACATAAATCTTTAGAAGGGTATCTAGGAGAATAATTTTATGAGAAAAGGAAAGATTTTCTTAAAAACATATCTTTTTATCTTTGGAAAAAATACATTATGAATTAAATTTACTAAATAGAATTTATTTATTACTAATCTCTTTCTGAAGAAATAACTATTTAAGAATTTTTAATATACTAATAAATATTTATTCCTTCATAAAAAATATTTATAGATGCATTAAAAGTATTTAATTTAATAAATTAAAGAAATTAAGACCTTGATATAATATGGATGTGTAAATATAATTTATAATTGGCTCGAATGTTGGAAGAAAACGAAGAGTTTTAATAAGCTATTGATAATTTAAATATTTGCTTAAAAAGTATTGTTTAGTATAGAGAAAGTTTATAAGAAAGAGGAATTGAAAGTCAAAGTGATTTATTATTGCCATTTAGTTTGACTTGCGATAATTAGAAAATAAGGGAAACTATTTAAAAAATGAAAGAAAGTTATATTTAAAGTAAAAATATGATTAATTTGAAAATACGGGAAAAAAAAAGAAAAAAATTAGAAAAAGATGAAGAAAAAGAAGAGGAATATGAGTTCTTATAGGCTTCTTGGTAATATTTATAAGATGATAATAGTGATTCTCATTATTTTAAAGGACTGTAAGATTTAAAAGGCTTTTCAGAAATCGAAATGCTGATAAATTCACTACATACAGATATTTTATTGAATATTTTTAGATGTGAATTAAAATTAGCAGAGAATTTTCAATTGTAAAAAAATACAACACAAAATTAATTATAATCAACAGAACTAAAAAGTACAAATAATAATGCGAAAGTACATTATATGAGAAAATCTAATGTAAAATATAATTTTTTTCTATATATGTAAATATAAAAAAAAGATTTCTAAATAATAAATTTTTTAATAAAATAATTAATAATAAATTCCATTACAAAATAATGAATAAAAAATTATAGAAAAATCAAAAGATAATCCATATAATTTATCTTTAGTATATATGGCTATAGCATTAACTAGTTAAGAAAATTAATCTTTCTTTTTATAAAAATCTTATTATTATATATAAGAATGTGAAAAAATGGAAAATAATCATTTTAATAAATGCATTAAAGTATATATATATATATAAATTTATATATATATATATATATTTATATATATATTAATTTTATATAATTATTTTATTTATTTTTAGGATGCTATTTTTGTTTTTTCTAGCTTGTTAAATAATATTTAAACTGAATAAAATTCATAATAATTTTTCCCTTTTAGTTATTTATATAATAGTTAGTTTATTGAAAAATCTAAAAAACCAAGATGCCCTATTTTAATAAATAGAAATTCTTCTTAAATAGTTTTGAAATTGCCACCTTTTGTTCCTTTATTATCTGATTTTGATATTAACAAAAATCCGAAAAAATTTGATATTAAAAAGATGGCTGTCTATGGAAAGATATCTGATGAATCTAAAAGTCAAATTACTGAAAACTGCATTTAATTATAAAATACCGGGATTAGATAATAAATTGGATAGACGGTTATTATCAAAAACCTAACAGAAAATTAAAAATATTAATTTGCAGTTGCTGCCTTTGATGCTACTGAAGAACTTTCTGGCACTATAGGGGAAAATAGTGAAGATATTGTATGTTTAAATCCTCTTCCAGTAAATCTTTTGTGTAGTCATTTGGCAAAACATTCTTATTTAATTGGTGATTTTGAAACTGCAGAAACTGCAGCAGATCATAGTTTGTAATATTTTACAGAAAAATCATAATTTTTAGATAGAAATTTAAATTATTAAGAAAATTTCTTATATTTTTATAGACTTAAATAAAATAAATTATAGGATGTAAGCTTTATTGAATTATAAGCTTTAGTAGATACTTTTATTGTAAAATATATAAATATTTATATTTTTTTTTTATATATAATAAAATATATTAAAATGTATAAAAATGTTAATATTTATATATAATTAGATAAAAGCAAGATGTTTAAAAAAAAAATTCCAAAACGAAAATCAAAGTATAATATTAATAGAACATTAAAAAAATATACTCAAAGTATGTAATTTTTTATTAATGGGAATAGAAACATCTAATAGTATAAAATCATATATCGTATGTATTCGTTTAATAACTGAGACATATAATTAAATAATCGAACTTTTATAAATGAAAAACCGTATAATTTATGTATTACATATATTATTAAAATGCCAGATTCTAATAACGGAGATTCCAAAGTAATATTGGGAGAAAAATTTACGTATTTTATCGGCTAATATAAGTTATGAATTATGCCGAATGTCAATTTAGTTAAATGAGATTAATTTAGGGAAAAGAATTCTATATTCTTAAGTGGGAGTTTTTAATAGAAAATGGATTGCGTTTTCTAAAATGAGAATGATAACGGAAGATACAAATTAAATTTAATAAAAGGAAAATAAGAAAATAAAAAAAAATTAAAAAAAAATAGAAAATAATAAAAAAAACTTTTTAAATAATAATAACGAGAATAATTTCTTTGTAATATAGTAATAATAAAAGGGAGTGAAGGTTTTTCCAAAATTAAGTAAGGAAATTTATGAAATTCAGAGTTAAAATTAAAGCTATCTGGAAGAAGCACTGCTTTGTTTTCCGGAAGATTATGGGGATTACGTATAAAGATTCGCAGAAAGATGGAAAAAAGAAATCGAGGAGTTTTTGCCTTTTGTTGAAAATTGTAAAGAGGAAAAAGAAAAAATAATTCAGGATTTAACCTATCATTTTGATTATTGGGATTAATTTAGAGATTTGGGATAGTCTTTTAGTAAAATATAGACTAATTTTAAAAATAATCCGGCTTTTCTAGAAATATGTTGTAAGCTGTTTAGAAGATTACTAGAATCTGGATATGAGGCTAAATATGTTTATGAATGTATATAATAAATTAATATTGAATAATTAAATTTTTATTCAGAAAGTTTCAATATATAAGAATAAATTAATGCTTTGAAATATAGGGCAGTTAAAAACGATGTAGAGTGGTTTCCGGATTTGCTGTTTTTGTATTTAGATGAGTAAAAATAAAATAAAACTAAGACTAGACAATAGCTATAGAAATATTTAAATAATTTTTTGATTTATAACAAAATCTAGATGATTTAATTTTTAAAGAAGATATATAAGAAAAATTTCCATAAAATTATTACTTCAATTTTTTTTGTTAATAATAATAGATAGTGTAATAATAATAAAAATAATAATAACAATAATAATAATAGTAATAAAATTAATAATAATAGCAATAATTATAATAATAAATATAACAATAGTAATAATAAAAATAATCATAGTAATTAAAATAGAAATAATAATTGTAAATGTAGTAGTAATTTTAATATTAATAGTAATAGTAGTAGTAATAATAGTAGTAATAGTAGTAGTAGTAATAATAATAATAACAATAATAATAATAGTAATAACAATAATAATAATAATAATAATAATAGTAATAATAATAGTAGTAATAATAATAATAATATTTGAAGTTTATTCCTTTTTTTTAAAGGTTTAAGTATCTAAATTTGTGGCATTCAGAATATTTTTTATTGAAAGGAATTTCCTTGTATCTTTCTTTAAAATAGCTATAATAAAATTAATAATAATATAATAATAATAATTAATATAATATATATTTAATATATAACTAATTTAATTAGAGAATTTTTAAAATGAAATGAATGAAGATTAAAATTAATAATAAGAAGGCAAATAATAAAATGCATAAATTTTAGAAATAGAAAAAATAATCGAAATTTTAGCAAAAACTTCTATATATAGTATAAATTCAAAATCATGAATTTTTACATTAAGTATAGCGAAATATGTATATAATATAATTGTTAGTGAATAAATAACTCCTTTTACATAAAAAAATACATAAATGTGGATTCATTTAAGTATATTATGTTATTCATTACTGAATATGATGTAATGTGTTCAAAAAGAAGGTTTCTATTATTTAAGAAATTAAGAAAAAATGAAACAAAATATACACCCTGAATAAATTGAAAATTACACATAATAAGCATTTAAATAAGAAAATGAAATAATAATGAAATAATACGAACAACCTAAATTAATAAAGAAATTAAAAAATTAATTTTGGTTTAATGATATAAAAGAATTCAATATAGATATAATAGCTAATATAATAGGATTTACAATTTAAGTATTATAAAAAATAAATAAAAATTAAATATAAATATAAATATAAATATAAATATAAATATATATATATATTTTTAATCTTAAAGGTATTAATTGTCGAATAAAAATGGAATTTATTAATTGGAATAACAAGAAGTTTTATTAATTTAACAGATCATTACTTTAGTTAATTTTTACTTCCTTTTTACATTTACGGTTAAGAAATCATAATTTAAAGATAAAATAATTTTTGTGAATAAAAAAAGGAAGAATTAAAAATTAGAAGCAAGAAATTTGAAGAATTTAAAAATACTTACAAAAGGCGTAAAAATAGATAAATTTAACTTGAAGCAACTCCTGAATAAATATAATATGAAGAAGATAAAAAAGAACTAGAAAATTAAATTTAATAATTAATGGAAAAATAGTAAGAATTAATTTTTGAAAAATATAAAAGTGAGAATTTATTAAAAGAAATAAAAAAAGAGATAAATCCAGCTTAGGAAGAACTTAACAAAGCTCGAATTTTATTAAGAAAATTTGCCTATGAATGTAAATAAATAAATAATAGCGCAGTGAAAAAAATGGAGGAATTTTTTAATAATGAAGACGTGGAAAGAAACAGGAAAAATAAACATAATTAATAATAATTAAGTGCTATTATTTCCAATTAATTTAAAAATGCATATGAGATGTTATAAAAAAAATAGGAAAAATTCCTACTTATGATATCTAGAAAAGAATTAGGTAATTTTTAATTTACAAGAAATAATGCTAATTATATAGAAGAGGCTTGGAATGAGGCTTTGGATGTGATTTTTAAATAGAATTCTTTGAAAAATTTTAGAGTCATTTTTAATGAATATTAAAATAGTATGGCTAGGGTTATAGGTATCCAGCCTTTATTATTAGCGGCCAATATTTTAGTAAATTTGGGCTATATTTGTTATTATAAGTAACTTAATTTATTAAGGGAAACCACTTTGATGGCTTTTTATATTGTCTTTTCTATTTTTTAAATTTCGTTTCCACACCCTCTTATTATAATAGAATATGGAAGTTATAGATTAAGGGAAATTTGCTTAGAAAAAAATGTTTATAAAGATTTAGAAAATGTTAATTGTGTAGAAAGTTTATTATGTATGGAAAAATTGGCATGGAATTTAATTGATGGAGACTTAAGTATTAAGGCTTTACCAACATTGTGTTTAATGGACTATATTGCGACTGATATATGTGCGAATGCTTTTTATTCTATAAGGGCGAAAATCATGAAAAGTATTGCTTTAAGTAGTATTGGATATATTAACGAAAGTTATATGTAAATTTTAAAGGTTATTAATGAAAAAGATTTACCTAGTCTATGGTTTGGACAAAGTTAATTTATTTAAAAAGAAAAAGGTATTAAATTATAAATATATATAATTAAATAATTTCATATATTATATATTCCATTTATTATTCAAATTAGGATGTTATTGGTTTCCTGACTGTGAAAAATTTAATAATAATGCACATCCTTTTTAAGAAAAAAATAAATAAATTATTGAATAATTAGTAAATAATATAGAGTTACCGAAAAATTTTCATATAAAATATGGATAATTAAATGTCAATTTATTCTTATATGCAAAATCATATTTACTTTTTGCAATTAATGAAAATGAGATTTTTGAACTTTATGATTTAAATGAATAGAGGATTAATTATTTAAATTAAGGTTAAAAATAATTAAGATCTCTTTTAAAAAAAATAGCCTTTGAAGAGGAGTTATTAAATATTGAAACAGAAATTTAAAATATGAAACTAATATTAGAAGAATTGAAAAAAGAAAATGAAATATAAGATGTTTAAGCAAAACTTTAAGCTTTAAAAGAAGATAGAAATTCTTTTTTTATTTAAAGAGGAATATATGATAAATAAGAATAAGTATAATATACATTTATATATTTTTATATATAAATATATATATATATATATATATAAATATATTTATTAATATTTATATTTATATTCATTTATATCCAATATATATAAAGAATATTAATTTATTAAATATTAAATTATATAGGATGAATATTTTTCAAATAATGAATTATTAATAGATTAAATTTTAAAAAGAGAAGAATATTTACTTATGATAGCACGTACTAGATTTCTTATAAATAAGATTTTTTAGTCTATGAATTTATATTCTAAATGTTATTATGTATTGGTATATGCAATTAATAACTTATATTAGTATTGTAATGAATATAGATAAGTTGAAACTGGAGAAGAACTTGAAAATATAGAAATAGAAAACACTAAACTTTAAAATGATTTAGATATTTTTAAATTTTAAAAAAGTAAATGTTATTTATTAATTACATATTTATTTTTATTATATAAAAAGTATAAAGTAATATTTGGGAATAAATGAATTCTCAAGTAATTAAAAAAAATAGTAGTAAAATTGAAAAACAAGATAATAAAAGCGATTCATCAAATATAAAAACTGTATAAAAAAAAAAACAAGAATAGGAATAATAAAGAGAAAAGTTATGTTTTTTAACAGAAAATAGAAAATCCAGAAGACATTTAAATGCTTTTTGGTGGATTAAAATAAGGACATAAATATGCATTGTTTTATTTAAATAAAATAGATATGATGATTGTTAAAAATTGATTGAAATAGCTAAAAAAGAATGCTTATAGGTCAAAGAATAATATTATTATGGAATATTAGAATAAGTAATAAAATATAAATATTTATATATATAAATATATATATATATATAATATATATATATATTTATATATATTATTAAATATAATATATAAAAAAAAAATATAGTATACAGCAAGAATAAACATTAAGAAAGGAAAAATAAAAGAAGCAAATGAAAAATTCGAAGAAACTATATAATATCATATAAAATATCATTTAGATGAAGATTTTGAGTATGTAAATTTATTAGGTGATTATGGAGAGATATTATTTGAAAAAAAGTAACATTAATCGGCATTGAATTATTTTTAAGATGCTTATTTAAAAGCAGAAAAAATTTTAGATGAAATAAGTTATGATTGTACTTTATAAAATATTAATAAAAAGGCTTTCGATGAAGGTGTTTAAACATGTAGTGAATTATAATTACCATCTGAAATATAAGAAGAAATACTAAAAAGATAAGACAGGTCTTAATAAAATATAAAAGCTGCAAGAAAAGATTTAAAAAAAAATAATGAAGATTATAAAGGAAAAAAAGATGATTCAAAAGGAAAAAAAAATGAAGAAATAAAGACTGATATGAAAGTATATATATATCTATATATATAAAAAATTATAAATAAAAAAATAAATTTTAATATATATATAAATATAAATAAATATATATATATATATATATATATAAATATATATTTAATTATTTAAATTAATATAAATATATATTTTTATATATTTTTTTTATATTTTTATACTTATAAAATTTTATTTGTTTATAAATAGATTGAATCTCTTAATCCTTTACCTAATTATGATTTTATGAAAGAATGTAAATATACCTATAATAACATAGATATTGAAAATTCAAATAATGCAAAACTTATTTATAATAATTATATGAAAAATATAGCAATATATATGAGGGCTTGTTTAAGATATATTAATTGTTATTTTGTTTTACATGTTTAAGGTTAAGAAGTTGATGAGAAGATATATAAGATGTTAAAGAAATTAGAAAATATTAATAATTTAAGTATAAATTTTATTGTACCAATATCTTTAAGGATTGAATTAAATTACATGTTTGCTTTATTTTATTAAGCATTGTTTTATAAAGATCTTTTTTCATTTTAAAATTATTATATTTAATTGTAAAAAAAAAAATATTATATATATTAATATATATTTATATATATTCATATTAATATTTAATTTAGATATCAGAAAAACATTAAATCTAAAGATGATTAAATAAAAGAATAAGCTAAAAAATATGAATTACTAACTCTTAAAAAACCTCACAGGGATGTTTGTAGGAATAAATATTTAATTGAGTTACCAAATTTTTCTTAAATTTTAAAAGAAAATATGATCTCCTTACTCGATGAAGCTTAAAAAAGACTAGATTAGGCTTTGTCTATTTTAGGAAGGGGCGAATGCCTTTTTATAGAAAATAATAGATTAAGTGAAGACTTGTTTTTTTAATAAGCTTAAATATGTCTATTGAAAAGAGAATATAAGCCAAGAGTAAATTACTAGTATATAGATTTAAAAGAACTATAATAAAAATACGAATAATTAAATAAAGATAAATAAGATACTCTGAACAATGAAATAGATTAATTAATTAAAAACGATCAAGAAGAATCTTCAAAGTTTGAATAAGAAGCGCATAATTGTTTAAAATATTCAATTTTAGTTTCCAAATATAAAATAAGCCTTAAAGAAAATTTCCATGAAGAAGCTAAAAATTAAATAACTAATATGAATTAATTACCATCTGATATATATTATAATATTATATAAAGCGATTTATTATATAAATAAGTATATAAATTAAATATATATATATATATATATATATATATATATATATATATATTTTTATTTATATATTTTAAAGTTTTATATATTTACATATTTATTTATTTTTATATTTATACACATATTTAGGATTATAATTCTTAATAATCGGGTGTTATTTTATTTGATGAGTCATAAAAAAAATATAATGTCAATAGTGTTGATTTATTATTATATTTAGTAAAATTAAATAAAGAATCTTAAATTTTAACATTTACAAATAGTTATCTTTAAAATTAAATAACTAAAGTATTTTTTTTTTTATATAATTATAATATTTTTATATAAAGTTACATAGATTTTTAAAAAACTAATATCAAAGTTATGCTCAAAATTATGTTATTTAAAATATAGAAACTTAATCTATTGATGGTATTTTTTTCTATTTAAATATTTATTTTTTTAATATATAATATTAAAAAAATAGGATCAATTATAATGAAAAGTATTTATAATAAAGAGTTTGGTGAACATAAATTTTTATATATATTTGGTCATTTGGATAAAAGCTAAATAATTAGTTAGTTAACATAAGAACAATTAGATGAATTGATTTTTGAAAACGATAAATAAATAGTATATGGATCTGTAATAAAATATTTATTTTTTTTAAATAAAATTATAATAATATATTAGATATATATAAGTGATTAAAAATTAGACAATTTATTATAAAGAAGCTTAGATTTGAAAACTAATATGTAAAAATCTGATAAAAAACCACCTGCGACAAAAGAAAGAGACTATAAAGTTCATAATAAGAATTTTATTTTATTATTTTAAGATTTTGGTATGCATTTTTTCTTAAAGGAAGAGTAATATAAAAATAATGATGAAAATACGACTAGGGGTAATGTTTTAAACTTTAGTTTAAATAAAAAAGAAGATAAAAATATATTAGGATAATATTAATAATTTATTCCGGAATTAAATCATGAGAATATTTAAATTTTTATTGATTTATTTAGTATTACGGGACTTTATTGTAAAAATTATAATGTTTTGGCAATTTTTAGATACTTTCATTTTTCTAAATACTAATGAAAATTTATATTAATATTTTTTATTTTTTTTCAAAATAATTTTTATATTTTAATAATAAAAAAATAAATATTTAAAATTTTTTATAGATATTTTATTTATTAAAAAAAAAAAAATTTAAAAATACAAATACAAATACAAATTTTTTATTATATAATGATAAATTTAATCACAGAAAATTTCGCAACATATTATACTGCCGCATTTTGTTCAAAAGCATAATTTTTTTGTATTTTTACTATTTTATTTACTTTCGGTCTTCCTTTCTTTTTATCTTTTAGTGCTTAAAGTAATATTATTTAATTTATAATGTAATTATATAATTTAAAAAATATAGACTTTTTTATAACTGTAAAAACTGGTTATGAACAACCTTTAGTATATTTTACAGGTTAATATATAATAGAAATAGGTGGAATAAAAATAAATAATAATTTATAATCAAATTAATATTATGTTTCAACTAATGTGCCTTAATTACTTGATTAATATAAAATATATAATACATAAAAATAAGCTTAGGAATAAATAAATATAATTGATTAAGTTATTGTTAAAGTATTTTTTTTAATTGATTCATATAATTTTTATTTTATCATTAAATATTAAAATAGTCAAAACCATAATAATTTGATCCTGAATATAAAGAAGAATAACTTATTTGTGATTAAATTTTAATTGATATTATAATTCCTTTGTAAAAAAAAGATGGAATTAATAATTATTTTAATAAAATTTAAAGTATTAATGTTGCTTTGGTTATGGATTATAAATTTTAAGTATTTTTTTTTAAAAAAAATGAAAAAATATATTTATAAAAAGGACTTATTAAATTTATAAATGAAAAGTCTTATTAATTTCTAAATACTAGATTCTAATGGTATGGATGGAAAATATAACATTATTATAGATGGAGATATTTAATTAAAATAAAACCATCCTTTACAAACTGGGTATTAAATAAAACATTAATTATTTTAATATTTTATTTTTTTAATAGAAATTACATAAGAAATATATATAATAATTTGCCTTTTCCATAAAATATTCCTAATGATAGTTATCCTAATATTTAAAAAATTTTAAATTATTATATAAAAAGAAATGGTAAATTTATATTATATAATCATGTATATATATATAAATATATAAAATAAATAAAATATATATATATATATATATATAATAATAAATAAATAATATATATATATATATATATATATATATATATATATAAATATATTTTATATATATATTCATGTATATTTTTATTCAGAGACTACTTTATTTAAATTTTAATCATACAATATTCCTAAAAATAATAATAATGATTTAGTTATAACAACTAAAGTTAATATACCAAAATACTAAAAATTAATGTATTAAAATCATTTTTAATACATTTATTTAATTAAATAAAAAGATATTAACCATCAATTTTAGAAACTTTCAAGTTTGCTTGGGCTTAATATTTTAGTATTTTTATAGTTGTTTTGTTTACATTGTATTTTGTAACTTAGAAAATATTTTAATATGGAGTTTTTATAGTTAATGCTTAGGATGATTTACCTGAGACTTATAAAAAAAAAAAATCAAAAATAGACTGAAAATCTATTTATTTGCTTTAAAAATATTTTGATTTTATGTATATTAATTAATATATATGTTATATTATAAAAAAATGTACTTATTACAGATAAAAATAAAAGTTAAATTATTAAAATAATTAAGTATATATATATGAATATATAACTAGTTAAACTATAATTTGATTTTAATATATAAATATATATATATAACTATTCTATTAATAGGTTATTTTATAATCAAAATATATATTAGAAATAGTTATTTTTATATAAATATAATATGTATAAAAAAAATATTTTATTTAATAATATTTATTTGTAAATATTAAATATATATAATTTATAAATTATATTTACTAATAGTTAGTTTAAAATTTAATTAAAAAAAAATCAATTTTGGTATCAAATTTTACTAAAGAATATTTAGATAAGTCTTTTTAAATATATTAAGTAATGAAAAAATACTAATTTTTAAATTTATTAAAATAAAAAATAAAAAAATTCATGTATTTATAAATTTGAAAGTAAATAATCAAATATACTTAAATAAATAAAATATAATATAATTTTAAATATTAAATATTATGTTTTAAATAAAAATATAAAATAAAAAAGATATAAAAAATTATAAGTATAAAAAAATAAGAATTATCCTTTTTTTAAAAAAAATAAATAAATATTTTTATTATTATTTAATTAATTATGTTTTTTAACAAAATTATTTAAAATATAAGATAAATAAGTTGATAACAAAAAAAAAAATTCTTTTATTTAATATTTATTTAATTTATTATTAAATTATTTATAAGAAAATAATATATTATAATTTGATGAAAAAAATAAAAAAGTTCTAAATAATAAGAAAATTAATTTATTAAGAATAAATATAAAAAATATAATGATTAATATTATTATATAATTATATATATATTCATAATTGTAAATTATTATATAAAAATTAATTTTATATTATATATTAATAATATTTTCAATTATATTTAAAATAATTTATTTATTTTTATTCATTTTCCTATTTTTTTTATGTTTCTTCTTTTTCTGATTTCTAATTATGTGTTCCAAAATATTGGCTATAAAAATTATAAATATCCTATCTATAATTAAGGTAAACGAAAGGAGCTCCAATTAATCCTAATAAGAGTACAGAATTTTTTAAAGCTGTCATTTTTTTTAACTTTTTTGTTAGAAAATAATTAATATTATTATTTAATATTTACTATAAAATATATATTTTTTGTATTTTATATTTTTAATATTATATTATTTTATTCAATTCTATTAATATATATTTAATTTAATTAATTGAAACTTTATTTTATTTGATTTGATTTTATTTTAATTTATTTTATTTATATTATTAAATTATAATATATTATTTTTTATTTTAAATTAATACAATTATATTTGCATTATTAAAATATCACATTATCTTTATATTAATATTTTTTTTTATTTAAAATTACAATTTTATTAAAAATATCTTTTTTATATAATATATTTTTTTAGATATTTTAATTTTTTTTTTATTTATATTATTACAAACTTTTTAATATTCTTATATGATTTTTATAAATCATACTTATAAAAATCTGCATTATTAATCTATTAAACATTTATAATATATTGAATATATGGTTTTTTAATATAATTTTGTATTTTAATATTTTTTCTTTTTCTTTTAAGACTCTTAATTAATAAATTTCCTTTTTTTTACAATTCTCAGATAATTAAATTTTATATATAATTAAAATCGTAGCTATAATACATTAAATAATATAAAATATATTTACATAAATAATAAATATATATTTAATAATTTTTATTTTAAATTAATTAAATTTTAATTTTTAATGTAATAATCTGAAGAATTTTTTATAAATAAATTAAATAAAAAACTTTTAAGTCTTTATTATGATATTTTATATATTTAATTAATTTATTTTTTTAAAAAAAAAAATTAATTATTTTATATTTTTCGGAACAATATTTTTAGTCAAATTTCCTGAATTTTTTATTTTTTTATAACTAAATTTAATGCTTTAAATTTTAAAATGTGGTGTCTTTATAAAATTTAAATGGAAATTTTTTAATAATATTTTTTGTAATTTATTCGTAGATATTTTTGAAAGAAATAAAAAGTTCTTTTTTTCAATATATTAATTGAAAATTTAACTTAAAGTAATTTTAGATTTTTCTTTTAGTTCTTACTTTATTAACATGTGCATTGTAAGAATTCGAAACAAAAAAATCATGTGAAAGCTATTATTTTTTTAATAAGAAACTCTTTTAATGATATTTTTGGTTGAAGCTTTTGAATTTAAGAATAAATCTTTGATTTTTCATTCTAAAAAGATGATTTAGGAGAATAAATATTTAGTGGGTAATGTATTGTGTCAATAAATAAAAAAAATTATTTTTGTTGTTGTTTTTAGTTAATATTTTTTATTTATTAAAAAATAAAAATTTTGTCTATTTTTTCTAGAAGGGGATTTTTTATTATTTATAAATTAATTAATTTTTTTGTAAAAAGTATATTTATATATATATATATATATATTATTTTTTTATATATAATTAAAGTAAATGGAAAAATCATAATTATTAGGATGTAATTTAACATATTTTTTGTTTCATTTATTTATAAAAAATATATAAAAAATCAATAAATAGCATTAAATATTTAATCAGATTCCGTACGTATAAAAAACTAATAATTTTTAATTTGTTGAAAAAAAAATATAATTAAAGATGCTATCAGAAGAATCTATTTAATATGAAGTTTTATAAAATAATTTATAACTATAAAATATAGTTTATACTACTTCTTTAGAAAATAATTAATATTGTATTATATGTAGTGTTAAATTTTCTTAATAATAAAATTGGTATAAATAAAATATATAAAGATTAATATAAATAAAAATAAAGTAATATATGTGGAGGAGCTGTTTGTCCTTAATGCTTTAAAAAAACAGTTAATAAAATTAAAGTATGTGATTTATGTTTTTTAGAATGCTTTCTTTCTAAAGTGATTTTTTTTAAAAAATAAAATAAAATAAATAAATAAATAAATAAAAAAAGCTTATTTTTAACAAAAAAATAAAAGTAATAAGAAAGAAGAAAAGAAATATTTTAAAATGATTTAAATAATTTAAAAGATTAATAAAATATAATTAAAAGTTAAATATAAAAAAATTAATAAAAAATAGAATAAAGTTTATTGGAGTTTTAAAATTAAGAATAAGAAATCTAAATATAAAATTAAAAATTGAATGAATAATTAACAGATATAAAAGAAAATATATAAGATAAGAATGAAAAAATAAAATAAATGGAGATTAAAATTTAATAAAAAACTTAAAAAATGTTTTATTATTAAAGTTTATTAGATAATATTACTAAAGAAGATATAAGTATTTAAACTAATATAAATAATTTGAAATATTAAATAGAATTTTAGAAATAATAATAAAATAAATTAATGGATAGAAAAAATACTATTAAATATAGTAAATTAGATTATAAAAAAAGTTCAAGAAAAAGCATTTATGACTAAAGATAAAATAATGAAAAATATTGTTAAAATTGTGCGCTATTTTGAATTAAGATTTTATTTTTAATATAAAATATTAAATTAATATAAAAGAATTAAATATTTTTTTTTTTATATATTATTTAAAAAAGTTTTTATTAAAAAAATTTTAAATTTTTATATAAATGTTAACCACAGAATAAATAGAAGAGGAAATATAAATAATAAATTATAAAGCAATAAAATAAATATTTCCTTAATTATAAAATATATTATAAGTATGTAAAGTAACCGTAATGATGGAATATACAGATAATGTAGTATGGCATAAGAAAGAAAAAGGATCAAGTTTTTTAATAGAATTATATTAAAATGAAAGAAAAGAATATAAATTGGTATAGTTAGATCAAGGAGATGTTGGAAATGATTTTTAAATAAATATAAACGAATAATTTAAATATGGATATAATATATAATAAAAAATGATTTACTTTTAACATAATTAATATACAAAAGGTATTTGGATTTCAGAAGAAAAAGAATTGGAATAATTAATTGAAAAAATTAAATATATTAAAGATATTTTAAATTATAAATGATTTATTTATATAATTTTTATTTTATAGAAAAAAAAATTTTTAGATGAATTAATATATTAGTATCTATAAATATATATATATATATATATATATATATATATATATATATATATATATATATATATATATATATATTTTTATCATTCATCTGTATTTTTAGATTCTTCCTTTATTTTTATTCAATATTAATATATATTAAATATTTTTTCTTATTATATTTTTTTTTATTACATAATTGAAACTTTAATTAATTGAATTATCTAATAATAAAGATTAGTTTTAATTTGTAGATTTTAAAATTTATATGTTTCTTATAATATATTCATTAAATTATTTATTTTAGTTTACTAAATATGTTTAAATATTCAAATCTTATATAAAAAAATTATAATTTATAATTATATATATTAAAAATTTTATTTTTTATTTACGTTTATTTTTTAAAAATATTTCATTTAATGTCAAAATTGTTTATTCAAACTTTTCTTAATCTTTTAAATCTTCAATTAATTATTTTATATATGAATCTAAATTTTCCATATTTTTATTTTTTTATATTGATTGCATTCTTTTTTCTCTATTTTTAAATCCTCCAATACTTATATTATTTAAATTAGTTTCTAAAGAAATATTTATCCATCTTAAATAAAAATTATATATATTTAAATAATTAAATAAATATATATATATATATATATAAATATAATAATTTATATAAAAATATATATTTATATATATATTTATATATTTTTTTTTTTATTATTATTATATAAATATGTATTTACTCTGCTATATATTAATTTTATTAAGGACAATTATAAAATATATATTCTATTTTTTCACTCATTATATTACAGCTTTCTTTAATAATTGTTTTTATAGTTTTAATTCCAATATCTTCACTAAACTACGGGTTTTATTATTTTGAAATATATATATCAAAAAATGCAAAAAGTTATTAAAAATTGACTTATTCTATAAAATCTTTCAGATTTTTAGTAATTTTTAACACACATCTAACTATTAAAGCTAACATTTTAGTATATTATCCTTAAAGTTGTTTATATTTTACTAAAAGTTCAATTAGAATTAAAAAAATATGCTCTTATTTGCAATTTTCGAGTATTCTTAGCATAGTAGAATTTATTAATTTAATAATCATTTAAGGACTTAATTAATTATTTTAAAGATTATTTTATTCTTTACTATCTTCTGATAATAACCTTATCAAAATTAATTCTGTTAATTTTTTTAAATTCTCATATTAACAGCTTTTAGAAAAATTTTATATTGTAAAGCATCTATACATTAAACTTAAAAAATTTTGCATTTATTAAGAAGTTATTTGACTTTTATTTTCGAAACAATAGTTCATTTAAAATAATATCATTTATAAAATTTCATGTTGATTTTAATCTATTATTATTTAGTATTAATCATTTTCATATTAGTTTACTATATTTGTTATATATAAAAGTTTCTCAATTTTTTCAGGATGGTTTATTTCTTCGTCTTAAAGTTGTTTTAAGGATATTTCAAATATTTAATCTTCTTTTAAGGTTTATTCGTATTAATGGCTTTTTATTTGATTTTTTTAATCGTTTATTATGTTTTATATTTGTTATTATTATTTAGTTGCTGAGATGTTTAATTTTTTTTCTGATGTTTATTAATTATTATATATAATTTATTAATATTATTATTATTATTATTATTATTATTATTATTATTTTTATTATTATTATTATTATTATTATTATTATTTTATTATTATTATTATTATTATTATTATTATTATTATTATTCTTTTTATTATTATTATTATAATAATTATGAATATTATTATGATTATGATTATGATTATGATTATGATTATGATTGTGATTATGATTATGATTATGATTATGATTATGATTATGATTATGATTATGATTATGATTATGATTATGATTATGATTATGATTATGATTATGATTATTATGATTATTATTATGACTATTTTTATAACTATTATTATTATTATGATTATTATTATTTTTATTATTACTATGATTATTCTTATTATTATTATTATTATTAATTATTATATGTTATTTTCTCTTATACAATATTATTACTATTTTAAAATGTATTTTCAGAAAATCCTTATTAAATTAATTTTTATTTACCGAAAAAATCTAATAGAAGTGATGACATTTTTTTATCTAGTTATATTTTGGATAAATACTAAAGATGATTTTGTGAAAAATGCTTAAAAAATATAGATTATATTAATTATGAAAATTTATTTTTATTTTCGTTATTATTTTTTTCATATTATTATATCCAGAAAAATATTTAATTTTCGTTTTCGTTTTATTATTATAATCTCATCTAAGAATTTATTATTAAATAAAAAAATTATATTTAATTTAATATATTCGTCGTATTTTTAACAGCCTCTTTTAAAATCCCATTTATTAATTTATTTTCTAGAAAATGCAATTAATAATTCTATTACGATAGTACTTTCAAAATACTACTTAGTATATCTAATATACAATCTATAAATTATTAATTATAATTCCCATATATTTTTAGAAAAATCCAACTTAATAACAGATCATTTAATTCTTTTAAACTAAGTGCTTATATTTAATCATTTATAGCAATTTTAATTTCTATATATATTTATAATTAATATATATATATATATATATATATATATATATATATATATATATATATATATATAAAAAATACTTATTTACATTAAATTGCTTAAATATTGTTTCTATAATCTAAAGAAAATAATAAAATAACAAAATTATTTTAGAACATTTATTTTATTTCATTTTCAATAAATAAAACATCATTTTGTTCAGGTTCATCTACATCAAAATGCTAATAATTTTCCATTCTTTTATTTTTCAATTAACTTATTGAATTCGCTGTAGGAAAAATCATATCATTATCCATATAAATAGGATTGATATTTATATCAACTAAAGAAAATTATTGTTATTATGATTATACTTATTTACCACTTTAACTTGTATAACTTTTGTTTAAATCATTTTTATTTATATTATTATTTAATTTTTAATAACTAGTACTTTTATAATCTTTAATTATATATATATAAATATTTTTATATATATATATAAATATTTTAATTTATTTTTATTACTTTATATTTATTATTTTTAAGGTGATTTTTTTTATAGATTTATATTATTTTTTAAATTTGTCTATGTATTGTTTCTTTGTAAAATCTTTTATTTTTTATTATTATTAGAAATATTAACAGATTTGCTTACATTTTTATCTTCTTTTACTAAAATACTTGTATTATTATTATTAATATTATTATTATATTTATCTAGTATAACCTATATAGTTTTTGCCTATTTAGTATCTTTTATCGCATTATAGAATGGATTTATTCCCTAAATTTAGATTAATTATTAAAGAAGTTATTCTGCTAGATTTCTTAGGTCTTTGTTTTTATCTATAAGTGCAAATAATACTGGTTAATATATTTAAGAAAAATCACAATTTCTATATTAATCTATATTTTATTTTAAAACCCACTCAAAGACTGCAATTTTTACGTCTTAATTTTCATCACTCATATATTAAGACATAATATTTACTATATGGTCAGTACCTAATATTTTAGCAAATTTATCTATACATTAGTTTACTTCTTTTCTCATTAAAGTTTCTTTGTTACTTAGGTTTTAAATTATTTATTAAATTAATTATTTGCTGTGAATTTTTACTGGTAAACCTACACTTTCAATAAATCTTCCTAAAAAATTTATACTCTATCTCTATAAGCCTTTATTTGATTCCTATACTCGCATTTTTAGAATAGGAAGTAAATCTAAAAGACCATTTAAAGATATTTTATTGTTATTTCTTTATATTAATTGGTCTAATTAATCTAATGCTTCCTTCCTTACTATCCAGTTTTGATCGGTTAATTTCAACATGAGTCTCTCGCAGTCTTTTGAGATATCTGCAGGGTGATCGTTGGAATTTTTTTCTATATAAATATTATTTATATTCTGATTTATTTGTTGTTTTTAAATTTAGTTGCTTTTTTATGTTTTTTCTTAAATATATTATGAATGTTTTAAATCATTTGTAGGATTCAATTGTATAACAGAAGGTAATGATTAATATTAAGATATCTATATAGGAAGTTCTCCATTATAAATTTTTTATTTTTTCTATTCATTTAAACCTTAAGTAATTGATTCTAATTTTTTTAGTTATTATTTTTTTATTAGTTAAAAATAAAAAAAAAATACATAATTCATCAATAGTAAAAAAATCTTTAATTTTATAAAATTTTCCTATTGTTTTAAAGGCATATTCCCTAACTTCAGCAACACTATCATCAAATAATTTCTTAAAGCAAAAAAGACAGTTTTATTTAAAAATTTAAATAGTCTTTTTATCTCCTTTTATATCAAAATATTTTTCTAAAATATACATAGTCTAGGTATATAAAAAAAATATGTATAAATATATATATATATTAATATAAATATATAATATATATATTTATATATTTCTTTTTTTATATCAAAAATAATATTATAAAAACTGTATGATTTTTCTTTTCTATTTTATTGTGATTTTTTAATTAATTCAATTAAGATAATGATAATTTCGTAGATTTATATATAATTTTGTGATAAATTTATATATATATATATATATATATATATAATTACTTATAATTTTAATGTAGGTGTTTTATCTTATAAAGCTTCTTTGATTTCATCTAATACTTCTTCTAAAGTAATTGAAAACCAGAAATTATCAATAGAAATTTTCGTTTCTTCAATTATAGATGTTTTTTTATCTCTTAATTTCTATAATACGCTTTCAAATAATTATTTAGATGCCATATTGAAATTTTTTCTGATACTTTTGCACAAAACTCCACTTAGTTTTATTGACGCCTACTACACATTAGCATTATTATCATTAAGTAGTCTTTTTATGACTTAAATTATAGGATAAAAATTATTAATATTAGAGATTACTTTAGGTACTGAAGCTGCTTATATAATATCATCTAGCATTTCTTTTTTTTCTTGCCATTTTTATAATTCGAGTATTTTATCACACCATTTTTCATTGAATTTTATAAAAATATCAACTCCATCGGCTATTTCATATATATCTTATATATTATTATTTTTATTATTATTATTTATTTTGTTTTTCTCCTCTTCACTAGCTCTTAAAGGTATCATAGGTACTTTTTCTAATTCTATATAGTATTTCTATAATTCATCTAATTGAAGTTTTTTTAGGCTTTTTGTATAATTAAATACTATTTAATCCCCAAGCCATTTCAAGGCTTCTTTATAAAAATTCATACACTCATTTCTAATTTAAGAATTTGTAGACTGGGCTTATTTCTCTATTTCTGGAAAAAAAACCTTCATATAATCGAATTTTTTCACTCCGAAATTTATCATTAGTTCCATTATTGATTATATGGCCGCTATAGTTATTTTATTATTCTTATTTTTCAAAGAATTATTCAAAACTTCATTTATTTCTTACACTTCGGAGCTTTTTTCGAATATTAGGATTAATAATTCCCTTGATATTTACTATATTTAGGGCTTTGGGCTTGATATACATTTCTCTATTAGGGCTCTGAAGATACTTATGTCTGTTATTTTCAAAGATTTACCAAGTGGATGGTATATTAGGTAATTTTTTAAGGCTATACATACCTATTCTTAGACTCCAGGGTTGGATTCGGAGAGTTTTTTATCCCAGTCTTGGGAAAATTCGTCAAAAAATGAGAGGGCTTTTGTAGATTAGAATTATTTAGAAAGTGTTTCGAAGGCAGACATTTTTGTTTTGATGATTTTACTGTTTAATTTTTATTATAAGGTTTATTCATCTTTTTTTTTTTTTATTTTTTATTTTTTTTTTTTATTTTTTACTTTAATCTTCACTTTCTTCTTCTTTATTATTTATTTCGCTTATATTTATTTTTCGACCACCTAAAGCTCTATTATCTATTTATTTTTAATTATTTTAAAAATTAAAATCTTAAATTTATATTTTGCTACCACATTAAGGTCTTTCTTATTAGAATTAGTCATTTATTTGTTCTGAAAGTTATATTTTTTGCTATTAATCAGTCGGAAATTCAGAAATTTGTAGTTTTCTACCTCCAAGGGGCCTTTCTTATTATTATTAATCATATAATTATTCTTATATTTATATTTTAAGACCTATTAAAGGTCTTTCTGGGATTAATACATTTTCTATGTTTTAATTATTTTCATAATCAGTTTAATTTATTTGACTTTATTCTTCTTCTATTTATTAATTATTTATTTTTTATTAATTATTTTTATTTTCTTCCTTTTTTTAAATATCCCTTTTTAAAAATTATCTCTGTACTACTTTCTTTACTTATTAATCATTATTTTCTGGAAATTCAGAAATGTTTATTTTCCTACCACCTAAAGGTCGATCTGTATATTAATTTATATCCCCTTCAGTTGGATATTCTGTTATTTATACTTTACGACCGCCTAAAGGTCTGTCTGTGGGATCATGAAATTAATTAATTTGTTAAAAATTGTCCTCTTATGAGTTTATATATTGATTTTATTCTGTTATTTATTCAACTTTTTATAATAATTATTCTAATTTATATATATATATATATATATTATTTTAATATATATATATGTATATATATATGTATTTTTTTATGATTTATTATTACCTTCCATTTTTTAATTTTTTTTCTCTTTGCGTTTTTTTTTTTTATTATTTTTTTTTAATTTTTTTCAAAAAAAATGAAAAATATAGTATTTTATAAATATAATTAATTATATAGTTATATGTTTTGTTTTAACAAAAAAAATAAAAAAATATTAATATTTAATTTTGACTGATTTATATATAAATGAAAATCTAAAAAAAAAAAGATTGTTTGACTAGTTAAGTAGTAAAGAACACATAATAAGCATCCTTACAGTGGAGTAGTCTAGTTTATTTAGGTTAAATTTGTTAGTGTTCAACAATTGATGTTGTTAACTAGGCATAAAATAACCATATAATTAATAAGATATTATTATTTAATATATAATTATTAAATATTTATTTTATAATATAAAAAAAGTTAATTATATATAATCGTTTATGGGTTTATAATTTTATATTTAATTTTTTATAATAAAATTAGTTAAATTTATATATTTTTATTTTTATATTAAAAAATATTTATTTTTTATAAAAAATATAAAAAAATAATATAAAAAATATTCTTTTAATTAAATATAAATTAAATCATGTATTTATATTAAATACTTTAGTTCTTTTTTATTTTCTCTGTTTTTTTTTTATTATTATAAATAAAAATTCACTGTGTTTTATTTAAATATAAAAAAGACATTGATAAAAATAAAATAAAATACATTTTAATGAAAAAATTATTTATAATATTAATTTAAATATAATAAAACTATATATTTTCTTAATAAAAGAATTCTCATAAATTTGTATATTTAGTTTTTAATTATATTTAAATATGTGTTAAATATATATTTGTGTGATTATAATTTTTAATTGAAATAAGAAAAATTT